TTGCATGAACGTTCAGTCACACAGTTGAGAGGGATTGCTGGTTGACTTTTTTCCGCGCTATGTCAGATGGTGTCAGAAGCCTGTGGAACTTTTCATTTCCCCAAGTTTAAGCTGCGTTGGTCGTGGTTTTCTCCTGCACCACTTGCAGCCTTCCTTCCTTTCTCCCTCTGGGCCCCGCTCCATCTGCCTGCGCCCCCCAAAATGCTGGAATGACTTCATCACCTTTCCCTGTCACGTTTTCCCCCTTATTTCTGAGCAGTATCCATTTCCTATGTGATCTTTCAGACTGTCAATGATACTGGTTTTAATATCTGATTAAACTCCATTTTCAGCTTCATTTTCCAGTTGCTTACCTCATTTGTTTATCTGTGGTCTTCATAATACATCTATCTTGGTCTTTTTTCCTTCCAAATTCCTTCATTCTACCATTTAATGTAGTTTAGCATCATTTGGTTCTCCATGGTTTTATTACATGATGCTTATATGACTCCTCTTACTCTCTTTGTAATCTACTCTCATTTTTTTTAACCTTCTGTAATTAATTTTCTATCTTTAAAGTTTAGACTTTATAGTCCCTTTTATTAGCACTCTTATTCCTGCATTTTCAGACACTGTATTGTGCTGGTGAGTGCTTAAGTTGGTTTCTCTGTTATTCAGACATGAAGTAATTGTGTTTTCCACTCTCTTTAGGAATAATTTTATTACCCTTTCTGATCAACTTCTCCATAGATTGTGACTTCAGAGAAAGCAGCAGCAGCTTCTACTGCGAATGGCACACGCAATGGATATCCGAATTCATCTATCAAGTCTTCCACCAAGCCTACTAATTAATTTGTGGTGGCACCAAGATGTCTTTAGGAAGCTCCTCACCTATTGATGTACAAACCTTCATGAGATGAAGCAGCCGTTATAACCCTTTGGTGAGTAGTCTCAGTTAATTAATTACGCTTATTAAAAATGTGCATCTGATTTTTGGTATGTTGTCTGACATCAGCTTTCAGCTACTGCACTTTGGCTTTAGCTTCTCATACAGGATGAGATCGCGCCATAATTCTGGTACTGAAGAGTGGGATCCTGTCCTTTGTGATGTTTTTTTCTCATTATTTTGAGCCCCTTGGGAAGTGTATACCAAACATAAACAGTGTTTTAGTAACTATTTCATAAATGATACACAAATACAACCATTCTTCCTCTTCTGTGTTCCCAGATGAACATTAGCCCTTCTGTGGTCAGCTTGTCACTAACCATGGACTAGGTCCTTTAGGTTATTTTTAGGATGTTTTCCCCTACAGACCTGTATTGGCAAATGCTGTTAGTGGTAGTTTTGTATTTCATTTGCCAATTATTTTCTTACAAATGTGTAACTGGCCCTTTCAAAGTCCATTTATTTAATAACCATTTTCCATTACCAAAGTTATTACAATTTCAGATTACATTTCAGTGATATGTTGGGATTTGGTGACTCTAAGCAAAACACCGTTAAATAGTAAGACACGCATGGTACATACAAGCTAACATAAACTGTTAGGCCAGCAGTTCCCTTTGCAACCTCTTCAAAAAGCTACATCAAATTTGCTAAGATATTAAAAAATGTGTTTTGTTAGCTTTAGTTAGGTTATTATGCTGTAGTTCTAAACCGACTGACCTTAATACTAGACTTTCTACTACTTTGCTCAAAAGTTGTGTCAAGTACCATTATTCTCACTGCTCTTCCCTTACGTTACCTTCCAATTTCCCCTGTAAATTGAATATTCCTGCAATTTTTACTGGGAATTTTGTCCCAATATTCAGCTTTTTAAAACAAAATTAAGCAGTACCTGCACAAACTTGTCTCTTCTTCCACATCCTTGTTAGCTCCTGTGTCTTGATCTTCCTGTGTCCCTCATTTTACATGTTCTGTAAGTCATGATTTCTGCCATACCATTTCCCTTTAAATCAGTTTTCTGGTGCATATCTCTTTGCCTTCAAGAATGGTTTTTTTTTTTCTCTTTTTATCCCTGTCTTTGAAAACCCCACCTTTAACTTGGCTTCCTCAGTCTCTTAAAGCCTTTATTCTCTTCCACAGCTCACCCCACCTCTCATTTAATTGTTAAGCATTTCCTCCTGAAAGTCCCACCTCCCATTTAATCCCTTCAAAATTAAGCTTTTAAAATACTTTCTCTTCCCAGTGTCCTGGCTGTGCATAGTCCCTTACAGCCCACCTCCACCTCCTGGGCTCAAACTGTTATTCTGGCTACAGTCTTACAAAGCCTGTCTTTCGCTTTTACTTTTTTTTTTTTGCTTTCTCAGAGACCAGGTTGTTGTCCAGAATTTTACTACATTATGAAAGCGCTATATCACAAACAAAACTACCTTTTCCTCTTGCTGCTTTGTTGCTTCTTTCATGCTGCTCACCCTCCCTGGAATGTCTTCTGTGCTCATTAGTCTCCTTAAAACACGTGAATTCCAATAAATTTGAGCATATTTCCAACAAACTCTTTACGTGTATCTCCACTCCTGCTGTTTTCTCTTTTGTTATATTGAGAAAATTTTAGGATAGGGAACTCTTCAGAGAGACCTGTTTAGGAAACAACTATGTTTATGATAGTATCCTTTCATTATATATGATACTGTATGATTTATGTGTGATACTATGATGTCATCATCATGCTGTTTCTAAATGATATGCAATTTCTAACTCTGCTCCGCCCAGCTCAAGGACTGAGGGTAACAAGTAGTTTAACATTCTTTGATTTTATTAAACTCTTGAAGAGGAGTTTTATTAACCTCTGTGAGGAATATGAGATGTTTTAGCACTCAAGGATAAATTGTTTTGCCTCTCTGGGATGACGGCTGGCCTCTTTAGGCTACAGCTGGCCAATAGTGCTAGAAATTCTCCTGAAGGCTACCTGCTACAAGACAAATTAACTCTTCTGAATTTTTTCTGAATTCCACAATAACTGTGTGCAGAAATTGAACTTTCAGGTCAGCGACACAGTGCCAATGTCAGCTAAGTTTCAGCATGCACAGTAAAGACACGAACAGTGCAGGAGTGCTGGTGAAGCAAGAAGAAAAAATGTCCTTTTTTTGCCTGCAGGGACAGTCATCGGGGGCCCTTCGTGGCTGTGAAAGCTGACTGCCTGTTTCTTACGCTCAGCTGGCCTACGAGCAGGATGAAAAGGTAGGTACTTCACAGTTTTAACTTACAAAAGCTAGTACACATTATCAAACTTACAGCTGTGCAGGCACGAGGGAACAAGAAGCACGCTAAAGGAGACGCGTCACCTTCACTTCACTACCCTTTCCCTTAAAGGGTTCCTCCTCGCAGAGAGCTTTCTGGGGGCTCTGGCTGTCCCCCACTGGGAAGCGAGTGGTGCAACACTGGAAACACAAGTAAGTCGCTTTTTTTTTAACACTGATGATTGGCAATTGGTCCAGTCGAATACTCCTGCTAGTGGAAGGAGACAAGAAAGTTCAGACTAGCAAAACACACAAGCGGCGGGCACTTGCGACCCTAAGATGGAAGGGGTTTTTAGTCAGGAGGGAAACCTGGTGAGGCATACTTCCCAGAGAAGTACTAGGGCTGTAAGATACGCTGTTTGAAGAAACTTGTGATTAGATGTAACAGCCTACTCTCAGATAATAAACTGTCACAAAATCTCTTGGATCGTCTACACACAAAACTGCCTAGCCTGATCTCTGTCTTAAACTGAGATTTTTCTATTGTTATTTAACAGTTGCCCCTTTGTCAACTAATAATAGTCTAGCTGAGAGTAATTTTTGTATTCAGAATGTTAGGCTCTTTGTCCTGGAATATTTACCAAACAAGGTAACTAAATTTTCAGCGTTCAGCTAAAACATGCCCTTTCTCAAGGGGCTGTTCTCCACCTGGACACCTAAAACACAAGTCTGTGCGCCTCTCCCGTCACTGTGAGGTGTTTGTTCTTGTTACTACAACAAACCTCACCTAAGTTCAAAGGGGATAACTGACTGCAAACTTTTCAGGGAAAGCCTCGCCTGTAGAAAAGAGCAGCGCATCTTTCTCTTCTGCGTGATGTAAGTTTATGTGTGGTAAGGTAGCCATATGTTGGAGCCCTGTAAAAATAAAACATATGGGACTTAACTTCTATACAGACTCATTTGGTTTGGCAGTATCAGTTAATGGAGAAAATAAACTGCATGTAAAATCACATATTTTATTGAGCCAACCACATTTTCCAAAGGCACCTTGCCCTTTTTTGGTCAATTTGCTTCAAATTGCATACTTAATACACTTTTTATAAAGCATTTGAGAATTAAGTTATCCTTACTAACCTCAGTGTGGTTTAATTAGGAGTAACAATTCTTTACTTTCAATATCCCAACTACGCCCCTGTCAGGTTTCTCTAACAAACAGTTGCTCGCTTTGATTTGAGTTGCAGAGGGCAAAAAAAAAAAAAATTTAAGTGGAAGGTTTACAGAACTGCAAAAGGAAAGCATTATTACAGTTTGTTTCTTCCAAAAAAAATTTCACACCGAGGTCAAGTAACTGAGTACAGTGCATGCAGACTTAACAGTGGTAACCGTCGTACCAACCAGAATTACATGACATTGTTAATTATCTTTTTTTTACTGTCTATGGAGTTAGAAACAAATTCAGTCTGCAGTTAAAACAATCTTAAGAAGTATTCAAAGAGGCTGTAAACTATACCCCCCTGCCCCATTTCTTGAAAGACCTCATGTATCAGCAGTTTCATAATCCTCTTCAGTTCACCTCTGATGGGAACCCCATCTTAGAGGGATTTAATTTTGCTGCTTTGATACATGTAATATTTAAAGAACTGCAGATGCTTCCTATTGATCCGTGTAGCTCACCTACATATGACGGTGGTAGTTTACTGTAGCTGAATCATTATTACTCTCTGAAGTTGCAGGCAAGCAGGAAAAGAGATCAGTTTCCCCAAGTAAAGCTGTTTATGTACGTACTCTGGCCTACTCGCCACCTCATTCACTAAAAATCCATAAATAATGCTTAAATTATATACAGTATCATAGAAGTGGGTCTTTATTCTTCCCACAAATAAATTACTCTTTTTTTAAAAAACCAAATGTTAACCAAGTATAAAAAGTAATGCCCTAACAAAACTACAGTGCTGTTATGATTCCATGGTGTCTTGGGATTGCTGCAGTAAAATACGTATTTCTTCAAAATACTGCTGTTTCCAACATTGTCTTGTGCTATCTTCATTCGAGACAGGAACTCCTTTGCACTCTAACTGCAGTTCCGTTTGAGCAGCCATATCCTTGAAATTCAAGGCAACCGTTGCATAATGTTCTGAAGGAAGAAAAATACAACATTTCAATAAAGTGTGTTTTAAAGGATTATATTTGCCGTTGCTAATTTTGTATCTGCTTTTGCCTGTGTCTGAGCGAAGCCTGTTTTCACAGCTGACAGCTGCTATGACATCAGGCTGTTCTCCAAAGAACGAGCAGACTACATGAGCTTCCAGTGAGCAAGGCTGTCAACTGTCCTTTTTGTTCCTTCTCCCCGCAAAGCGTAGCCTCTGTCAGAGGTCCTCAGAAAGACTCACCCTCAGGCCAGCTTCTACACCTCCACTTGAGGACGATTCTTTGGCTTGGGACCTGTGAGAAGATAAGAAGGTTCTCCTCATTAGTGTGTGAGATAATTCACGATGACTATGCAATGCTAATTTTCCCCTGAAAAATAAGGAGAGGAGCATTATCTTATGTAATAGTAGACACATGCATGTAAACAATACAAAGATTGGGGTTTGTTGGTTGGTTTTTTTTTTTTTAAATAAACTGTTTTCATCAAATTTGTTACGTTCCACTGTTTTGTTTCTCTGTGGGAAAAGTTCAGGCTGATTCGTTACCAAATATAAAACAATGGGTTTACTGCACACCTGGAAATAGGCACAAGTTAAGAGTCATGTTTTCACCTCTGAAATTTCAAAGCATGCCCGTGATTTTCTGTTAAGCAATCCAGCCTGCTTTCATGTACGAGTTAGGCAGTATTGCATAAAGGTGATTTACAGCCTGCCACCAGCTCCTGTGAGAAGGGGAGGTACTGCTTCAGCATAAGCATTAAGTCTGGGCTAAATCAAGGTTACTGTTTTCGCTAAGCCCTTAAATTTACATTTTGACTGTTTCATCTAAATAGTTCTGTATCTAATATAACTGACTGTCCTCAGCTTCACTAATGGGATGTTACCGCTGAAGCCAACAGTTCTCCAGCGTGTACGTTTCCAGACTAAGCCCTTTCTGGAGTAAACAACAAATTTTATTAGCTTGAACTGAGAAGCCAATTTTCCAAGGCTTTGCTTTTTAAAAAAAGTTGTCCAGTTGTCAGTGATACTTACTGCCCGTCATCCGGATGGACAGCAAGATACCCAGTCTAGGCTTAGCAACTGTGAAAATGATTTTTTCAGAGGTTTACAAAAGTGGAGCTGAGCTCTAATTAACAATTTTTCCCTTCTATTTGCAAAAGCATTCAGCTGGGAGAGTGTAGCATTTGCCCTGAATAGAACAGAGATCATTTCTGCAGTTACAAGAAATGATAAGGATTTGGGAAATAAACTTCAGATCTGCTTTGTCACTCCTCGTAAAAAACAATGGTGTTGAGAGTTTTCTCCCCCAGTGCAGGTCATTAGGTGTAGTCAGTGCCTGCTCTTTTGATGGGGAAGAAAAATCACACAACATACATAATAGCAAATTTTTTGGCTTTATAATAGAGGGACTGAATATGCATTAGAAAACCTGAAATGTCAGAAACTGATGCTAGTTTCTAGCTAGAAGCTTGACACCACTACATGCCCCCCCCATTTAAAGCGCAAAGTATTTATAATAGAGGGACTGAATATGCATTAGAGAACCTGAAACGTCAGAAACTTATGCTAGTTTCTAGCTAGAAGCTGACACCACTACATGCCCCCCCTTTTTAAAGTGCAAAGTAGGAGCTTTTTACCAATTCTGCATATTCACCGCTGACGCAACCATCAAACATCTGAAGTTTGCCTCCTTTCTCAGCTTCAATCACAGCAGGACATTTAGAAAACTTCTGTACCAACTAGCAAAAGAATACAGCACAAGCCAGTTAACTACACTCTATACTGACACATAACGCAGCACATCACAAGACAAGGGAGGGTTGCTGAAGAAAAATTAACTGTGATATATGTGAGTGCCTTTAAGCACTACTAAGCTACTAAGCTGGTAGCAGGGGCCAGTAAGGTGACAAAAATGGGTCTATCACTGCTGAGTCAACCTGTAGTGGTACATACAAAGACCAGTGAAGACTCCAGCCACCTGCAAGGGGCCACAGACAAAGTACATACACATACACGACTGACAGTTACTAGATTTGGAAATTGGGGAGATGATAGAGCACGAGAACTGCCGAGAGCCATTATTTTTCCCATTGGTAGTGCTGGGATTCTAATTTTAAGGTCTCTGACACCAGCCCAGGCTCTTTTGAAGGACACAAACTCAAAATTACTAATTTTCTATTTTGTACCCTGTAAGCAACAGTATCATCGTATCCAATACCTAATCTAATTAAGCAAGCTGTGGATAACAACAGTGACATTACTGAGGACTTCTGGTTCCTGAATGACAAGTGTGTACATAAAAAAAGCTAAGCTTTTTCTTACTAGCAAATGAGCGTGTGATTGAGCTGCATACAAATGACATAAAGCTGCAGCTTCCCTTTGGTTGGTTGGCTTTTCTGCCTATTAAGGTAACAACTGCCCCCCCCCCCAAAAAAAAAAAAAGTCTAAGCCACCCTAATAAATTCTCATTAAAAAGGTAAAAGTGTAGGAATGATCCTACTGACACCTGCTAGTACTTTCTGATTGCTATCACAAGAATGTGACAACTTGTCACCAAGGTCAGCTACCTAGCTTTTGTTCCTTGCTAGGAGACCAAAGTGCCACGCTGCTTCAGCAACTGTCAACTCCATTTGCATTGTCACCACTGAAATTCCTCAGCGGCCTAAAAGGTGAAGCTGTTCAGCAATTTGAAGAGCAACTGATGACAATCAGAATTACAAATTCTTAGTGAAGTTACGTGAAAAGGGTAGCTCGTGAAACTTTCAGTTTCTGGACAATCTGTCCATTTAATGTACTTAAAGAGTATTATCTGTCCTTGACACTATGAATGTGACACATATTACTTGCACAACTATTTAGATGTAACAGCATCCACATTAAATTATATTGCCTACTGAAAGTCTCACTCACTTACCTCCTTAGTTGTGAAGATGCTATAAAGTTCATCCGCTGGAGAGTTGAAGATTTCTCTCATAAATATTTTCACTGTTGGAATTTTTACGCCAACTATATCCAAAGGCTGTGGTGAAACAGAATCCTGCAAAGCAAAAAGGGTTCATGTGAGTGCAAGATCAAACACTTCCAAGTTCTGGAATGGCAAGATTGTTGTTACCTGTGCATTCTTAAACATACTGTGTTGTGAATGTATGTCAATTATACAACATACATCCGTATTTATTTAACAGTATTATTAATCAAGATTCATCAAATTAAGTGAAAAAACTAAGAGCGTGTGATTTGCTCCAAAGACACCTGAAGTTAAGTTTAGCCTGGGGAAAGTGATCCGTGCAGGTGCGTTCCAGCTTCACGCTGCTGAAGCTACGGCCATTACAGAACAAAGTGTTAAAGAGTCCACACACGCCGCTGTCCGCCCCGGGATCTGTGGCAGGTCGTTTCTGTATTACAGGCCCTGAGCACAGCAATGAGGCGGCAGTTGCACCCCAAAGGCCTTCACTTTTGCGGGTCATCACAGGAACGTGCAGTTATTACCACAGCAAAATCTAGGAGGGACTACATTTATGGTAATATTAAACTTGTACAACACTTAAAGCCAACATACTTGCATGGTATTCCCACTTAATTTTCGCTCAGCAGCCAGCTCCTGACCAACAGTAGCTTTTGTAGGCAGAATCATTCCCAAGGTAAACTCTGTAATAAAGAAAAGCACTTTTCAGTATGAAATTGAGCTGTACAACCACCCTGACATTCACACGTCACGAAGATTGCTGGCCAAAACTGTGGAGAATGGAACGTACAACTCCAATCCAGAGTTTCCCCACCTTACCCATATGTTTTTATTAGCAGCACAGCCTAACAGCAATTTCCCTTAAAAAACAGGCTTTTTCAAAGTCACCTGACCCAAACATTGTAACATCTGCCCATTAAGAAATGCACCATCTCCAGCTGAGGGCTGGGCGCTGCGTTGGTAGGTGACCAGTCAGCCGGCAGGTCTTGCAGTGATCTCTGTGGTCAGCACTTGTAACACAATACAGCCTGGGTTGCTACAGAAACTTCTGGATGCTGCCATGTTTGACAGCAGTAAAAATTTTGACTGTAGGACTAACTTATTTCATCTCAGCGGATGACAATTAAAAAAAAAATACAAGCCCAAGGACTTGCCAATGTATTACCAATCTATTCAAGAAAGAAGACTGCATAGAAACATACCTAACAAACTGGTTTCATTTACCTGTTTTAAGTGCTTTCAGGTAATCTCTCAGGGCCTCTCTGACTTTCGTGGTTCCTTCAGTTCTCATAAGGTCCTTCAGAACATCTCCTTCCCCTTTCTTTTTGCTAACATTTATCTAGAAACAGAAAAATTACAAGATCTAAGAGGCATCTAAACATGAGTCTTTTGGGTTCTGGCAACAAAGGAAAGTATTTTGGCTTTGTTTACTATATTCAGAGGACAGCTGCAATTTCAATTTCATTATCTTCTCAGTTTATCCTACCTTTGCTAAAAATAAGTCCTCACGGATTTTGCCTTAAGTGTAGTATCTCATCTCCACAGTACTTATAGTCAAGTTCATCAAGTACAAACAGAGTTGCCTACTACACAGCAGAGGCTGAAGAATTTGTGAAAGCCACAGGATCAACTGCTATACAACCAACAAGGAGATTCCTTAAGTTCTTTGGGTTTTGGGGTTTTTTGGGGGGTGGGGAGGGGGGTGGGCGGTTGGGTTTTTTTAAGACTACAGCAAGCAGAGTTCTTCTCAAATTTGTAGTTAGTATATTGTCAGAAACAATAATTAGCAAAGAAAATTGCGCGCATTCCTAGCAGGTAAATTTGAGAACAGACATAAGTCGTTATTCCAAGTATAAAAAATGAGAACATGAAATAAACTATCCATGCGTAATTAGCCCACTTAATCACAGGATAAATCAAAATATGATGCCTATATGTTGATTAATGCTTTATTTAAGAATTCTGAACCTATATAGCCGTATCAGTATTTCACACCTACCTCTGTATCATCTACCTCATTTTCTTCTGACAGGTTAGGAATTTCAACAGATCCCTTATGTTTCTCACCAGACTCTTTCACTGTACCTGTATTAACATAATGAATTCTTAAATGCATTATTAAAAACTATTTCCCCCATAGCAAGAGTTTTATGCTTGGAAATCAGTTGTACAAAAGTGTTACTTGAAGCAAGTTGCCTAGAATCTAATTTAAAGGAACTAAATAGCAACAAAAAGTCTCAAATATGTCACAGTACTTTCACAGTAAACTATTCTCAGAACTGTATTTTGCTATATAGATGCATTAAGATATGTACATGCACAGAGGTACATCTTCTCACTCGGCACAGTTTGCACGACCGTTCTGCCGCTGCTGTCACCTCCAATTGTCAGCTGTCCTAACGCTCTCAACTTACATCTGCCGACACAGAATGTGAACCTAAAAAGAGGGTAGGGGAAAAATAACCTCCTCTTTCCTTAAATTTGCCTGCCATTTTTTAGAAGCTCTCTAGAATGTTACTATTCCTTCTTGAGTATCTGAAAAGCTCCCAACATACAGGCATGTTACTGTAAAACATATGTATGTATAATGGACAAGTATACAATTGGAATTTTTTAAAAACATGAAACTTCACATGCAGGTTTTTTTAGAATACTCATTCTTACTCTTAATAGCTTCACCATGAAGTGCCATTAATCACTGTACACATCAGAAAGACTTTGCAAGAACAGAAATTAGGCTCCACTTCTGCATCCTTCTGGGCAAACGCCCTCCATCACTTACGTACACAGTTCTATAAACATGTTCTGGGATACGAACCCTGTACTGTACTTCTTTGCCTCGGACCTTACAGTGAAAAGATTGAATTTAAGGTCTAACGCTTTTTTTTGTCATTACACTGAAGACTCTCTCCCCTCGCCTTGCAAAAGCATTTAGTTATTTAAATTTATTCGCTATTTAGATCCTGTTTAAATCTCTTTAGAGAGCAATAGCAGAAACATGCAGTTCTACCCCAAATCCAGTCATCTTTATACTATTTCATCAGCTTAGTTGTCAAAACATACAAAACACAACAACAAGCTTTATCAGTCCATCCACAAAGCTCTAAAATACAAACAGCCCAGTGTTAAGCATGACTGCAAAAGGGGAATTATCATGAAGGGAGATGTAACATTTCTTTGGATTCTTTCACCTTCAAAGGAGCTAGCTAGATCCAGCTACTACTTAACATCACTCTCATTATTTTTAATTACTACCCTGAAACAATCACCATGCTACAGGGGGGCACTACGCGCAGATATAACCTAACGTGCTACTGGCCAAGACCACAGTAAAGTAGGCGAAGAAATGTTCAGAGGTTTCTTAGCAAGAAGAGGGTGACTGATGGTTAGTAACACAACGTGGAATACGGTGCCAAGATCCCTTCCCAGTCAGGATCTACATCAGTGAAGCACAGCGCAATATGACAAGTCTGTTAATCCAGAAGGAGACAACCAGGTCCACATAGGGAAAAAAAGCTAAACCAAATGCTTCTCTTGGGCTTCTCAAAATCTCCCAGGAGAACCTGTTAGCCAAGCGAACTTGTGAATTATACCGTTAAAACACTTCTGGGCCCAAGACAAATCACATGCAGCCATCTCAATTTTCTCCTTCCTGCTTTCTTCTTTCAGAATTAGTACAGGCAAAACCACACAACACTGTCTTTGCAGATAGTAAAGCAAATCTTATTTTCAGCTACTCTCCCAAACCAGAAAGTGCAAGCATGCAGGAAGAAGCTTTTAGGAACAAAACACAAACCTGACCTCTATCCATTCGGCTAATTTTGTTAACAATTTTCACAACTCATAAAATAAAGATTCCCAAATAACACAGGCCAGACAACAAATTTAAAATCATAATAACAGTATATAGATTTCTTTTTCCCCCCTTCAAAAAATTGCTTGTCCGAGGGATTAATGCAGATGGTATCTGTGCTGGACAGCAAAGTCCAGCCAGTTAACACACAGAGCTGGTTGGCCAACATTACACGGGCAGAATGTTGGTACAGCTTTGCATTTTTAGTATCACTGTAACGTAAGCAAAACTATTACCTTTTTATCAAACAAACAATCAAATTATTTGTTTGAATCCCAACAGACTCCAGTAACAGACCTGAGAATAAATTGGGGTTTTGTTTCCTGCCAATCCACTATTTTAGAAAATTGATAATGAAAGCACATGTCTCAGAAAGACCTACCTATAAAACCACTGCTGAAATACCTAAGTTTTAAAAGGAGATACAGTGGTTTTCATAAAGCTTCCATCACAATGTAGAATAATCTATTAAAATCCTCATTACATCTTCAAATAAATGACAGAACAGCCATTTTGCTCAATTTTAGGGCCATTAAGTACCCTCAGTTCCTCACTTTCTTGTTGCTCTGTAATCTAACTTGCTAAGGGCCATGTTTTCCCAACATCAGACTTTTCACACTGGCTGCAAATTTCAAGATTTATATCATCTTGTTCTTATGTATTCAGATTTTAATCATAGCTTGAATTACCAGCTATCCTAGAAGACTCGTAGAAGGAATTAATCACAGCAATCAGTGTTTTTAGCAGTTCAGTCTGAACTCTTTTCTAACTCAGAGCTCTCAGAAAACACATAACATGACAGCTATCAAATTAAGAAAAAAAATCACCAGTCCCAGCTCTTTCAGCATTTCACTGTGTAGTAGCAACCCCTTTTAAAACTGAGCTCTCAAAGACATTATCCACTCAGTGCAACACTGCACTGAGCAAAGTACCTAATGCAAATTAAGAGTTGTTGAACACTGAAAAGCAGAGACCTAGCAGAGGAAAAAGAATTTAGGAAGAATTTGCATAGAAATACAAACAAAATATCTGCCTGCTTCTATGCCTTATACGTAATATATGCTAATATATATTTTTTATAAATAAAACAAAAAAACCAAACTAACCAATATTTAAAACTGAGGTGATTTTTGCTTAAGAAAAAAAACCAAACCAAAAAAACCCAAAATATCAAAAAGCTGATTACAATTATTTAAACTGCACTGATAAACTGCACAACACAGTATAATGTTTGCCTTCCTCCCTATTAACATTTAGATTACAATTGTAAGTACGTTCTTAGTTTATAACACACTTGTAACATTTAAAACATAGTTAGCTATCAATGCGAACAAAAATAAACAAACAACAGTGCTTCTTTAAGTCCCCTATTACTATGGGAGCAGACCTCAATTCCAAATCTGTTCAAATAGGAGCGCTGGTCTCAGCATCGAAATAAATGTTAAAGTCCCAGTCAGCCAAACCAGGAAAAACACAGTCATGAAGAGCTGCGTCGGAAAGGGCACCCCAGAAAGGAGAAGGGCAGAACGCCGGCAGCCCACTGGAGCAGCATTACCTGAAACACTGATCCAGTGACTATGGTCCTGTTTTGGGGCACAGGAATTAAAAGGGGAACATTAAGTATGTCCCCTGGTTTTCCTATTTCTTACAGTAACAACTGAGGCCTGAGAAAGAAGTACAGTATTTTGGGGAGGAACAACACGTCATTTGGGTTTACACTATCCATGTACAATTTCCCATGCAGGCGCTTTTTATGAGCTCTTCCTGCTCCTTACTCCAATGCAAGAGATGGTCCATCCAATTTGCCATCAAGTTTTAAGCATCTAATAAATGGAAAGAATTCCTTGATGTTAACAGAAAATAGGTTATCAGGTTGGTCTGCAAATAAAGAGCAGGGGTTGCGAGCAGATGCAGCACAACAAAAATGCATAGAGCTGCGTTATCAGTCTTTTTTCTTCCCTGGGTAACGACAGCCCTATTATCCCAAATAATCAAGAATTATTCTAGTTTCTTTAATTCCCACTAGACAATTTTTTCCTCATATAATTCATTACCCTCAACATAAACTACGCTAAATTTTTGGAAACAGCTATATTTTCACGCTTCTTAGCGTCTCCTGTTTCCTGCTGCCCACATGCATTAAGCACACAGCTGTAATTTGTGCACACTAGGAAACTAAAACAATTCAAGCGCACTGTTCTAAGCAATACATATCTCACTGCAATAGAAGTATCTACTTCTCAAAGCAAGATAACTAGTACTGTGCTGGTATAAAAATCTAGGAAATGCGTGTGGCACAAAAAAAACCGGGCAAAGAGGGGAAAAAAAGACAAGCTAGGGTTTCAAGATTAAACATAAGCGCTTATGACAGTTTAGGCCCACGTATCTTCTGCAACCTCCCTGCGATTTCGATTCACTGCAGTTCAACTAAAATATTCCTGCTTTTTCAACCCGAACGAAACTTTACTTTCCAAAGTGATCGCTCCTGATCCAGCAGAGCAAATTAGCAGAGCCAGCTTTGCAAAGACCTCGATGAACTCCGAGGCAACCCCTATCAAAGCACATCTTCCCACGAAACCTAGGGCCAGGGATGGAAACGCGCTGGGCTCCCAGTCACTGCGCTCCTCTCAGCCGGGAAAGGCTAAGCAAGCCGGGAGGCAGTCTCTCCCACCGCAGATGGCCTGGGTGGCTCCTCAGGACCCGCGGTGGCCTGAACCCGAGGAAGGGCCGCTAGCCCGTGACAAACGCCTGCCAGGAGCAGGGGCACGGCAGCACCGGCACCGCCTC